TTTAATAGGATCCAGGGGAGCGGTCTGTGTTTTTTCCACAGGAAGAAGACAATCCATTCTGGCTACCAGAGCGACTGACGCGAAGGCTCGTGACGACTGAAGATGACACCCCGAAGAATTCATCTACAGATGTTTCCAGTCCTAATCTGGACCCTCCAAAATTGGGTTCCTAGTATACGGGGAGAACAACGATGGGCTATATTATCTGCTTTTCCTAAACCTATACCTGTTAGACATGATGCCATGGTATTTCCAAGATTTCTTACAACTAATAAAACCATGGGGCTACCTTATCTTCCCTATGATAAAACGCAGGCCCCCCTGGGAGAAAATCGTTCCTTGCCTGAACGGGGTTCTCTCTGTTTTCAGATTACTGAGACAGGAAACTGTATAACTCTCTCGAAGAGAACCTTGGGGTGGTTTTATGAAAAGAGAGACTGGGTTAAACTAACAACAAAAAAAGAATGATAATGAAAAGGACAATAGTTATGTCAAAGAGTTCTCACAGTCCTTTTTACAACCAGCCATTTTTATCACCCAAACTTATTGATGGAGAGCGTCCTCGTCAACCTAAGGTCTCTCCTTTTTGTAGTCTAGAAGATGAGGGAGCTGTTCTGCCTTGGTCTGATTGTCAATCCAGAGTAAAACGATGGGCAGATACCAATGAAACCTTTTCCTTTTCACCCAATATGTTGGGAGATCCTGGAGCTAGTGCAGTAATGAGAAAGGGTCCTTTTCTACAGAGCGCTAGTATGAATCCCTTTCACAAGTGGCTACTCTGTGGAGTTAATGGCAGTTGTACCGACCTCAATTCACTAGCCTTTCTCCAGGGTGGAGCGACAGGAAGAACATCCTTTACAGGAGTTATTAATGGAACTATGGTGAAACAGAGTTCAGATCCGGTCCCTCAGTTGACAAATCCTATTCAGTTAATTACTGGAGTTAACAGGATCATTGTAAATCAAACAGTATTTTCACCTACACCAGTGTGTGTTTTTCCACCTTTCTTGTTTATTCTCTCAAACTCCTCATTTGAAAAATGCACTAATGATTCATGCATGATGTCTCAGTGTTGGGCTGTTGGACAAGCTAAACGTGCCATGGTTGCCAGAGTGCCACGATGGGTTCCTGTTCCTGTTGAGACACCCTCTACTCTATCATTATTCAGACAAAAGAGAGACTTTGGCATAACTGCAGCCATAATAACGGCGATATCAGTCACTGCCATTGCAGCTACAGCTGCTGGGATTGCTATGTCAACCAAAGTCCAAACAGCAGCAGCCTTAAATCAGCTGTCCGCTACAGTGACAGAGGCAGCCAACCTCCATACTTCTACTAATGCTGAATTGAAAGGCGGATTGATGATTGTTAATCAGCGCCTAGACTTGGTAGAAGAAAGAATAGATATCCTTTTTCAATTGGCACAACTGGGATGTGAGAGAAGTCTAGGAGCAATCCGTATTACTAGTGTTCAATATGAAAACTTTACTCGAGCAGCTAATTTGTCCAGACAATTGTCTCGTTACCTAGCAGGAGAATGGTCAGAAGGATTTGATGAACTTCTCGAAAAGTTGCGAGCAGCGGTGGCAGCCATCAACGCAACGCGTGTGGACGTTTCGCTGACTGAAGGACTCTCCACCTGGATCTCTTCAGCCTTCTCTTTCTTTGAAGAGTGGGTGGGAGTAGGCATGTTTGGTACAACCCTGTGTTGTGGATTAGTGTTCATACTCTGGTTGGTTTGCAAGCTCAGAGCTCAACAGAAACGTGACAAAGTCGTGATTACCCAAACACTTGCAGCCTTAGAACAAGGTTCATCTCCCGAAATCTGGTTATCTATGCTAAAGAAATAGCCAACAAATAGATCCTCAGCTACTGCACCCCAAGGGTTCAGCCCATTGCATTGGGTCAGCGAGGAGTTTTAGTCTGACTGGTCCTTGTCTGTGTAGCTCTGGTACCTGAATATTGAGGCAAACAGCCCTTGCACCCCTAGGAGGTGACTCCATTGCACAGGGATGGGTGTTTGCATCTCTCTCGGTTTCCCCTAGCCTTTGCACCCAGAGGACTCGTTTCCATTGCACCTGGTAAGGTGGGAGAGACTGTATCAAACTATTAGTCCTTGATCGCTTATTCCCCCATAATGGAATTTGCTTGATCGGGCTAGAGTTTGAGTTTTGATTGGTACCGTGCCAGACAGACCAAGGACAGCTCTATAATTTTGTCTCCAGGCCAGCTGCCATTGGTCCCAACGACGGGAATAGGTTGATGCCATATGCCAGAGGTACACCAGGTGGTGTGAGTTTACCCCATGACGGGCATTACGAGTGGCCACAACCTGGGTGCACATTCTTGCTGGCAAGAATGCCAGGTGTGGGTGCAACCCTCGTAGCCTAAGACAGGGAGCTCACCATTCTTTGATGCTGGCTATGGGAGAACATCAACTAGCCTAAGACACGGGAAATGGCCAGTGCCTGTGATTCTCATTTAAAACAAAAAGGGGGAGATGTAGAGAGCCGTAGAAAGCAGAGACATCTCTGAGAATCTGACGCTCTCACAAGTTCTGTAATTTACTGTCTTTGTGTGAGGGGAAAGCGCGCGAAGTCACAAGCCCTTCCCGGGGCATATAGAATTTTATGGGCATTTAACCAACCAGATATGTACACATCACTCCAGGGGGTATTTAACCAGGGCCTTCCCGGGGCTCGGGGCCTTTTCCGCCAGCCGGTTCCCATCAGCCGGCTTTTTCCCAGCGGGTCTTTCCTCTATAACATCGTAATAAAGATCTGCTGAAGAACTTTGGTGTCTGTGTTACTCGCGGGCGAGAACACGCCACTCACATATAGGAAAACCAAAACAATAGAGATAATATATAAAAGAAGGAGAAGTTTGGAGCACAGGAAGGGAAACAACGTGGGGTAGAAAATAGAATATGGTAATAGGGGATGAAAAGTGATCAAAATGTACCCAATAAAAGTGTCATAATGAAGCTAATTAGTTTGTACCAATAACAAATGCTATAAAAATGAAAAGATAGATATATGAATGAAAAATGTCCATGTACAGAATGAAGTACTATAGATCCTAAAAGTGATAGCCTATTGTTTGTAGCAAGTGGGTGGAACTGGAAGACTACATTAAATGAAGTCAGAAAAGAGAGAAAAGTTCTGCTCATTCCCGCAGGTGCTAAAGTTATTTAAAATGTTAGCATTACGCATAATTTTAATTATAAAAGGATGGGAAGGGTAAGGGAATGTGGAGTTAGAGAGAGGCTAGTAGTGGGTACACAGTCACAAGCAAAGTGGATTTTCTGCCACAATGGGGACTATAGTTCATCATAGCGTACAATACAACTTGTCAATTACTGGGGGTTCAAAAGCACCAAACACAAGTAATGATGAGGTGACAATGTTAATTATCCAATTTGATCAATAAACATTATAACCATGTTTTGAAATACCACCCTATGTCTTCTAGGAACTGAATAGCACTGCAGTTAGAAAGGTAAGAAACACAGGCAGAGTTTGAGGGTAGTAGGAAGTTAAAGCCTGGGAATCAAGCAGTGTTATGGGAAAGCTACAGTTTGTGGCAGTAACCACGGGAAAGAGGTTGCTTTGATTTTGATGCTAATTTACATAAATAAGCAAAAATTTCCTATCACTCAGGGATAAACACAGATATAGGAGGACAGAGGTTCAAAGAGGCTTGAATATCGTATTTCTGCATTCATACTTCACTTCAGCCTACTAGCTATTACAGGTGCCATCCTTACCATGTAAGTGCAGAGCAGTCAACTTGAGGGATATGGTTAGAAGTCATGCTAATATACTCCTAGACTGAATGCCTTTCTCAGTCTCCTGTGGGTACTCGCATGTGCCCTCAGACTTTCATTTGGGTCTGTGCTTGCCCCTGTAGTACTGGGATCAGGACACAGATGTTCTGATATGAAGGCACAGTCAAAATAATTTGATTACTCATTCAGATGATATTTTCCCTTGAAGACATTCAAGTCTGATATGCTCGCAGACTGTGGCTTTTATAGGGGAAAGAGGTGAACACATTATTAATATTAATAATTTATGTCTTCAAGTGATCTTTTGAAGTATGCATAAAATTTGTGAACATTAACTTCAAAAACGATCCTTTCCGGGATGAATTTTATTACAGTTACAACGATTACAACGATTGTGAAGCATGTATTAAAATCTCTCAGGACTGAGCTCTACAGGTAAAAAAAGAAAAAAAATTACAGGAAACCAGAAATTGTCCTATACCAGTCAAGAAGGCAAGTGGCATTAGTTCCTGGGTCCTCATTAACTAACATGTCTTCTTCCAAGTGCCTAGCTTGGCACATTCCACGTTACAAGGACGCAGTGACCACCAAGTGGTTCTGAAATGGCTCCCACAAATCAGATTGTATGACAGTGGCATCTAACATGCTAGAAGGATTAGGCAATCATCCCTGTGTGGTGACTTAATGAGGCAGGCACGGCGTTTCCCTGGAAATTCTACCATCATTGAATCTCACTCTGACCTTTGAGTTAAGTTCTAATTTCTGATCAGTACCTATCTTCCCAAATTTAGCATTCTCTGCCCTGGGATTTATTAAGAAACCAAGAGTGCAGTGTGAATTACTTTAAGGATGCTACAAAAGTTTGCCTTGCAAAGCCAAACCAACTTGGGGTAAGGGAAATGTGGTTGCTTTAGTGGCAAAAAGAATTTAAGTGGTTCATTTTTGCTTCATAACTGTACCATCTTTGCTTATGCTCACTCAGCTGATAAGTCAGGAACACCTTCACCCCCAAACACTTGATGGCCAAAGGATGAGCCCAGCTGCAAGTTGTCCATGGAATCAGCTAAAGATAAACATCTTAGCCCGAACACGTGGCCGCATCCTGACGAATCCCCCACTCTCCTCGCTCCTCCATGTAGCGTCCATATTTATTTACCTCCTTGGCTTTCCCTCTGGATTGTAATTTTTACAACAAACGGAAAGTTTTATTTACCTAGGGAGACTCTTGCAGGGACAGCTCTCCGGTCAATCCAGAATGAAACCCACGACAGCATTACCATCAACATGGCTGGGAAATAGGTCTGTAGTACAAAGAAGAAAATGTGCCTCCGTAGCACAAAGTTGATGAAAAGTCTGTAGTACCACCCTAGGAGAAAAACAAACAGACAGACAGACAGACAGACAGACAGACAAACCGGTTATCATTAAACAGGCTTAGCCACACAACATATTCTTCAGACAGGAAGTTCTCAGAGATTGTAGACCGTGATATACCATTTCTGCTTACTCAGCACCAGCTGGTTCTCACCTGCACTTGGAATGCTAACGCTTTGAGACAGCCTGAACTACAGCCTACTCAATTATTCACCAGAAAGGATGACGTACCTTCTAGAGCCCAGCTGGGGAGTGAATAGCAATTACATTGCACGTGTGTAATTTTGCACACTTATATTGTTTGCAGTATTTCTTTAAGAACAGTGTTAAGGGTAGTGAGGTGGGTGGGGGGAGCACCCTCATAGAAGCAGGAGAGATGGGGGAGGAGGAGGGGATTTAACTGGGAAGAAGGATAACATTTGAAATGTAAATAAATAAAATAACCAATAAGATTTGCATTAAAAAAGAACAGTGCTAAGTGATGGCCGTGTATCACAGTGAATAGTCATTTATCAGCTGCTATGAATGATGAAGAACATTTGACTGTAAGGAAAGGTTTGGAGTAGATCACTGGCCCTTTGCTTGGAATCTGGAATGCTAAGGATTCAAAGAAAAGATGGGGCATCTTTAACATGTGTTCATTACTCTGAAGTTTCACAGACATCACAATAAGTCTGCAGAGAGAAAATTAAATGGTGATATTTCTTTGCATATTGTTGGAATTCTATAAGCTTATGTTGGTGATGTTATATAATCTGGTGAAAAAATACCACTGTTGTCATATCTGTAGCAAACTGAACAGAATTCTCATTTTTACATTTACTATATGGAAGCTTTAAAAGGTGGAAGATTTGTATGCTCTTAAGAGAAACCAGAGTATATAAAGACGTTTAAATCTAAAATTTCAAACCATCTTTAGGACATCTTTGAGTGTTATTCATCATGATTCCCAGCCTGTATTGAATAATTATGTTTTCATTATTCATTCATACTTATTTATATTATTATATCATTTTTGTTTTTATGTGTAGATGTTTTGCTTGTATACATATATATATATATACATATATATATATATATATGTATATATATATATATGTAGGTATGTGCATTATGTGCATAGCTATTGCTCATGGAGGACAGAAGAGGGAACTCGATCACCCAGAACTAGAGTTACAGATGGTTGAGAGCTATTATGTGGTTGATGGGAATTTCACCTGGGTCTTGTGGAAGAGCAGACTGTGATTTTAACTATTGAGCCATCTCTCCAGCCCCTTATTCATACTTTTTAATGCATAGTAATAACCATGCATTAACCTTAAAAATTACTGAAATAAGGTCATGAATAAACATCAAATATACTTTATGAATGGTGTATAGTTTTATTTGTACGTGCCAAGTACAATTTTGAAATGAAATGATTCAAAACCTAGAGACTATAGTAGTTCAAATTGTAAAACAGAATCACAGGTAATATAAAGCTAGTGAACGCCTCTACTACTTTTAGAAGTAATTTCTTAGGGAACGCAAATGGGAAACTTGTTGGGAGGGACAGGTAAATGGGTCTAACACTGAGTACTAGTACAACTACATTGAACTGGGAGGTTCTTCGTCTAGCCTCTGATTCTCAGTTAATTGATCATTCTATTTCTCATCTTATTAGACTCCAAGATTCTCACTGTTCACTGACACAGATGCCTTGAAACATACACACCTGAAGATTACAAATTTCATTAGTGGTGGAAATAAATGAAACACCCGGCAGAGCATTGTAAAGTTAAAAGTACACACTACTATTTGTTCTATCCACTGATGCATATTTGCACTTGATATTAGCCAGAAGCTTGCAAAGTGTCAATGTTTTGTTTAGACATTCACTTTACTGTGTGTGCAATTGAAAGTTTTGATTATGGCTGAAGTGTGGAATCATATACCAACCTCTATAGCTTCAGATTATTGTTGGAAGGTTAAAATAAATAATAATTACAAATGTTATTCCTAAAGAAAGATAAAATTACGGTATAGTTGTTTCAACAATTTATAAAGAGACTGGTCCCTGAAACCCTTGGTCATTGATATCTATTGAAGTACAGGTGCTCATATAAGATAGTGTGTTATTATTGGCATAAAACCCATTTATATTTATCCATATATTTTAAATATTTTCATTTATTTATAGTGCCTAATACAATGTAAGTACAATGCAAATAGCTGTTATGCTGTATTGCTTAGGAAGTTATGACAACACATAGTTATGTTCATGCTAGTACAAATACGTTTACAAATTTCAACTCACAATTGGATGAGTCCCTGTATGTGACAGCAGTGGATATAGACTGCCGGTTGTATGTAGTTTTCTGTTCATTATTGAGTTCTTGAAATAAATTTAGGTGATGATTCTTTCGAAAAATGGTCATCATTACTATTTATTATTATTTTGCAATGCTAAGGGTTAAACCCAGAGCATCAGAAATATATATCACTAACCAAGGCTTCTCCTTTCTTAGCATTTTTTCTGAAGAATTATCATCAGGGGTTTTATTGGTGGGGCTGGTACAAAGGATTAACCATGAAGGGAGAATGCTGCTCTAGCCTGTGGATCAGGAGGGAAGAAGAAGATGGTACTGTGGGTGGATGTAGGCTCCTTTACTCATCCAACAGGTCATTCTACCTTGTAAGACTGTCAAATCATTACTCCAGTCAGTGTAATAAAGAATCTGACTTCATATTTATTCCTAAAATACTGAGAGTTCCCAGGCCTCATTTATATGTCTCTTTCTGTCTCATAAATAACAAACTAAAGCCAAAAACAAAATATAATAATAATAATAATAATAATAATAAAAAATATGTGCAAGCACATAAAAAACCCCCAAAATCTCTTTTGGCATCTCATGAAAACTTTAACCATTGTCTCCTCAATCAAAGGGAACATCCTCTGCCTTTACTCTACCCCCAAACCTCCATAAAATTCCAAGCCAGTTCCTTCTTTCCTTTGGTGTTCTCAGCTCCGTCAGACCTGCCTGGCAGGCTGGATTGCTCTTTCTAGGAAGCTCATAATGTGAGCTATAAACCTGTCATACCTTTATGTGTATGGCATCATCCTTTTGCAATGTGAATTAAATTTTTGGCATGAGTATTTGGGGGGCGGTAGTTGTCTCCGATTGCCTCCACCAGTAGAAAGAAGCAGAACTAAAGACTGTGAGGGAAGGGCTGGCAGTAATTGGGGTGCAACCCCAAGACAGTAGTGAAAGCTTGTTGATGTTACTGGGTGGCCATGGGTTTGTGTAGAGGCAATGATAATAATGAAAGCCTTGTAAGAAAAAAACAAGACACCACTACAAATGGAAAATGACTTTCTGCACCTCCAATTTCCAGCTTTTACAGTGAGACCCATATGCATGGATTTATCTATACGTCTGTTTATCTATCTATCTATCTATCTATCTATCTATCTATCTATCTATCTAGTATAGCAATTTGAAGATGTTGGTCATAGTTGGTAGTTATGATGATAGGGATAAAAAAACATATTTATAATCATTTTTGGTGAAGCTAATATTTTAAACAGAAGGATACCACATTAAAAATTTACGGATAGTGTGAGGCAGACCTGTTATTTACTCATGAACTGAAATTGGTCTCATCTTTCTGAAAACTAGAAACTTGTTCAATCGGGATACAACTATTAATTTGATATACGAACATAGCTTTCAGAATGCCTTGATCTTGTATTTTTCTACTATTAGAACACATTTTATTTCTTCTCATTAAAAATGTGCATTTTAAAACAAATTTAGAACTAGAATGTATTGAAATAAAATTGAAACTATCCCCAATCTCCAACTAATTCTTATAAATTTAGAATGCACAGGCACATACAAAATACCCATATAGGTATAAATAATTTCTTCAATAATAAATATGAGTTTTTGTTAATGAGTCTTCTTCTTTTTGTTTTTTTTTTTTGTTTTTTGTTTTGCTTTTTGAGACAGGGTTTCTCTGTGTAGCCTTGGCTGTTCTGGAACTCACTCTGTAGACTAGGCTGGCCTCGAACTCAGAAATCTGTCTGCCTCTGCCTCCCAAGTGCTGGGATTAAAGGCATGTGCGCCACCACCACCTGGCTGTTAATGAGTCTTCTATTAGTTTTCCTTTTAATTTAAAGCAACTTGCATCATGCTATATAAGTATACACATTTGAAATCAATTCTATCTTAGTCCATTTCTCAAAGGAGCTAATGTTCTACTTCTTAAAAGTAAAAACATACTGGAATGTTAAGGCTTCATATTTCATTTAAAAAATACATAAAAGCATCTTTGTGAACAGATTTTCAGTGATGTTTTGTCTGATTTTTGACAGGCTCTACGATGTGAAGAGAAGAGGATAAAAATTACCTAGTGTTGATCCTGCCTGGGTGACAGGCACAGATAGTGGACTAAATGCAATGATTTAGAGGTAGAGTTAGAAATTGGAACACTTTATCCTCTGCATTTAAAGGAATAGTTGTATTTCTACTGAATATATTCATGGATACTTATGTTTCAAAATCCTAAGAAGTGCAATAGGTATAATAGATATAAACGTATAGATACATTGTATATATCTGTATAGAAATACCACCCTTTGATTTCCATGCTCCTTGTATCACATTATGATAACATTAAAACTGACCAATTATAGTCATAATTTATCATGAAGTTACTTTATCATAGAAATAATAAAAATTAAAATTCATATGCATCACTGTTCATTGTATACATTCATTTATTTAAATACTGGCTTAATTGAACTGAGGACTAAAAACATTAAACTCCTGGCATCATATATAAGAGATGATCAAGAAAAATGGAAAACTGCATCACAACAGCTTGTCTGCATGAGGTGTTCTTAGTATTACACGGGCTCTTCAGACTTCTGAAATTCTTTTCGAATTATATACCGCATATTCATTTATTCAGCAATTTGATTCTGAGCATTTTCTACGTGCCAGGGATAAGTCAGTGATCAAGGAACACAAATATGTGTCATTTGCATATCAGAAAATGCAGTGAACTTGATTAAAATTAACAGCATCATTTGTTGAATGTTAAAGAATGCAAGTGAACAGGGTGAAACCAGACATTTCTCCCAGATCTAAGTAGCTAGAGACCCATTGGTCCCAGGGATGCAATTCACTTCTTTGACGTTTAAATGTTAGTTGTCCTCTTAAGACACTGGCTTCTAGATAGATAACTCACTATTTGCTCCTCAAGTGCCATGGCCAAGCAGATGGGATAGGATTCCAGCCAGGGCAGCTCTGAGCTCGAGCGCCAGCTGTAGTCACATTTTGTAGCCTGAACATAGCTCCTTTAAACTACAAATGATATTTTATCTGCCTGAAATGACACAGAGTAATACTAGTAACTAACAAGATGGTGAAAACTGTCTGTAGAGGTGGGATGTTTTGGAGGTGAGAAAGAACCTGGTGCTAGCTTTATTTAACAGCCACATGAGTTTTTAAATCACCTGGGACAAATGCTACCAAATCAGACATAAATCAACTACCATGAAGAGTATATAGTGTATTTCTAATTCTAAACAGATTTTTCTCCTTAGGGCAACAGTGCATTTCGTTAAATTAATTATGTTGGTTGATTTTTATTGAGCATCTACCATATACCAGGCATATTCTAAGATCTGGGAAGACATGGTTAACAAGGCAGATAGAGTTTCCTGCTTCTTTCCAAAGACAGACTTAGATAATAGACAATAAGGCATCTATTTCAGCTAGTAGTATGTGCTGTGAAGACAAGGAGACTGGAAATAGTGAGGAAGGAGGCTTGGTTTAGAAAGGCTCATTAGGGTATCACCATTTGGGGCGATATTCTACAAACTTCTAACTAAAGGAGACTGTTGGTCCTGAGATGGACAGGGGCAGAGCCAAGCTACACAGAAGAAATGAGATGAGTGTCTGACAACAGGATGGAGGACCACAGGTTGGGGTGAGGTCCAAGCAGCACACAGGATGTAGATCATGATGAGAAACTTAACTTTGCTTCTAAATGGGATGGAAAAACACTGAAAGGTTTGGGGGTCGTAAAGGGTTTTGAGCAGTGATTTATGTATTTCAAAGAACACTTTGTGTGTTCTGCTAAGTACAGAGTAGAGGGGCCAAGAGTACAATTAACATGCCTTGTTGGAAAGGTTTGCACAATGGGGAGAGAAGGGTTTACTTCACAAACAGCAGGGGCTCAATAGTTGCTAAAACTTATCTGCACATAGTGCTGTACCTGTGCTGCTATAGAAAGCCAGTCCACTGGACGCGCTGAACTCCTCAATGAAGAACTGAGAAAGGGAAATGTGCTCCTCCGTGTTTAAGGACTTGTTGCCATGTTTCCAGTACAGCATTAGATCCTCTTCATTATAGGCATCTAAAATAACAGAAACAGTTCCTGTGTTAAAAGTTAGGTTAGAGCCGGGCGGTGGTGGCGCACGCCTTTAATCCCAGGACTTGGGAGGCAGAGGCAGGCGGATTTCTGAGTTCGAGCCCAGCCTGGTCTACCGAGTGAGTTCCAGGACAGCCAGGGCTACACAGAGAAACCCTGTCTCGAAAAACAACAACAACAACAACAACAACAACAAAAACAACAACAACAAAAAAAGAAGTTAGGTGAGGTCTGTAGCCGTGTTTTATACAGTTCTGAATCCCCAGCTTCTGGTTCAATGCCATTCATGTGGTACCTATTGAAAGATATTTTCAAAGTGACTGAACAAACCCATACTTCAAAAAGGAGACAAAACAAAACACCAGCCCCATCTTCATTTCCAAAATCTGGAGCTGGAAGACTGGCAAGATGGTGGCATTTCTCCCTCTGTGATGTTTGAAAATTTCCTCTGTGTTCTCTCTGTGTGCATTCTCATATAAGATTAAGACAGGCCTCAGGGCTAGGCTACAATACTGCCCTCACGTGGGCTTATTCTATGCCTTTAAGTTTCTTTTGCTGTGCCTCTCTTGGTTGAAATTCTAAAATGAGGCTTAGTTTGTAAAGAACTTTCTTTTCTTGCGTTATAAAAATTTTTAATAGACCTAGAAAAGGATAGATGGGTAGGAAGCTCCCACTGAGGCTTAGAGCTTCAGTCACATGATAGAAAAACTGCAGTCAACTTCTAAGATGTCTTATCAAAAGCAAATATTGGGTAACAGTAATTGATGTGGCACGGGAATCACAGACTCCTTAATGGGACTTCAACTAGGGAGTCTGTGCTCCAAGCTGGGTTCCTCTGGGGAGCCTGCACACACTTAAAAGAGGATTAGAACTTGTCTAGCTATAGTATTATCAGATTTTCCAAATGTGGAAAATCAGTGCCAATGTTAGGAAAAAGCACCCTCCAAAGGAGCTGCCTTTCATTGCTATTGTGAAAATCACAGAATGTTTAATTACCAAGGCATTTCCCCTTGAATCTCCTCATTCAAAAGACAATCTGTTATCATCATTAAGAAGAGAGAGATAGTGTAACACTAAAAAGCAGAGCCATATAATTGGAAGATATTATAAGATGTTTAAATGATTGCTAAGCACGTGCCTATCTCCCCATGAGCATGTGTTTTAATGATACGGGCTTGTTTCCCCAGGCAGAAAGACTTACAGCTTTCCAGCTCTAGAGAACAGTTCTGAGTGTCCAGAGGAAACCTGCTGAAGTCCATAAAGCACATGGCTGAAACTGTTATCCTGCAAGTGAAATAAAAAAGAGGACTGTGGTCATTTACCCATATGGCCCAACTAGTGTGCAGCAATGAAGCCTCTCATTGTTTTCTTGCTTTGTGTGCCTTTCAAGGATAATAAGAAACAGGCCTGACTGGGTTCTGTCCAAATAACAAGAAAGCAAACCCAGAGGGGTAGGGATTGCTTCCAGATTGATGAGTAAATTCTTACACTTATTCCCTATCTCACTGTTTCCTGCTTAGCTCCTTCTCATGGTTTTTTTTTTTTTTAATTTCAGAAAAATACTTCAAAGTCAGATGCCTTTAAGTGGATCTTAGTTGTTCTGCTTTCTAGAAGATGCAAAACTTAGTAGTCTTCAGTAAAAAGAGTTGAAGGGGTGATAATACAAATGTATAAGTAAAAGTTTCCTTCACAAAGCACTTGGAAAATTTCCTTCTAGTACTGAGGCAAAAGCCTGCAGCACGCTTAGCGATAGATCAGGTGCATAATACATAATACAGGAACTATTAAGGCAAAGGCTTGCATGCTGATGAGGTTTTTTCCTTAACATTTTATATTCTCCTAGATTTTCCTGGCTCCAGGCTGAAGCTGCTGTGCTATGATCTTGCCTCAAAGTGAGACCTGCGGTAGCCACATTAGCAGATCAGAGATTCCTAAAAGGCCCTCAGCAATTCTGCAAAAACAAAGGCAGCAGATGCTTCTGCCCATGGTGCCTCTGAGTTAATCAGAAGAGTAGAAGCATTTTATCTTCTGTGACCTGCATTTTATTGTCAATAGCCAAAGCATCGAGAAAGGACCTGTGTTGATGGTATTGTGTGCAAAACTGCATGCTTAGTCAGCTATGTTGCAAAGAAGTATCCTCTGAGGTCTTTGATACTTTATAGTATATTTGAAGAAATGGCTGATGAAGATTTTGGTTAGGTGGTCTCAGAAACCAACCTGGTAGCATGTGACCTGGTTCTGTGCTTGGACCGGTTCTTTTGAATTGTAGAGCTGTGCTCCCAACAATTTTTAGTCCTCCTGAGTTTGGGCATCTCCAAGACCACCTCCAGGGTTAAGCAACCCCAGAAAGACTCATAGACTCAGCAAAGCCATTATCATGGGCACCACCTGAGTGAGGTACACTGCACTTTACCACAATGAGTACTAAAACAAGAACCAGAAAAGGCTGAGTCCAGGAGAGATCACAGCAGGTTTTTTTCTGGAAAGTGTGACATTATTCTGTCATTCTTTCATATATATATATATATGTATATATATATATATATATATATATATATATATATATATATACATATATATATATGTATGTATATGTATATGTGTGTGTGTGTGTGTGTATGTTCTATCAATATACATATGACATTATGCACAAAGCACGAGCTCTGGGGACCAGAGAAGCTTACACTCATCTTGGTGAGGAAAATGTTAGCTGAGAGTTAACCAGCCAGATGACTGACCTTAGTTTCCATCCTTTCCAGAGGTTAGGGTGATACCATGGCTCAAGGAGTCCGTTCACCTTAACCACCATGAAGATAGACACTTTGGTATGGCCAGTGGACACCAGATGAAGGGAAACACTCTTATCATGGAAGATAGCCCAGGAGATTAAAAGTTACTACACCAGAATCTGTCTGATAAAGGCCAAACACATTAGAATGGCAAGGTAAGCAGGATCCACTGGGTTATTCTACTCTTCATCCTTTCACTAATGCAACTTTAAAACAGCTGGTTCTTAATAAGATTTTGTTTTCAGTTCTTAGAGACCTTTGACACTAGTATTTATATGTCCTATATAAAAAAGTAGTGTTCATTAATTGAATTCATAGCTTTTTATAAGTCTCTGATGCTAGTTACCCTTGAATGACACTTCTAATGAGCAAAGATAATGTCTTATTGCTTCAATAACAAGTGACTACAAGCGTAACAGCTCATAATGGCATAAATGCATTTTTTTAAAGTTCTATAGACTGGAAGTCCAATCAGTATCACTGGTCCAGAATCACACCTTAAAGACTTCTCAGGGGAAACCCACTCATACTGATCAGTACCACCACTCCTTGGCTTTGGGACTCATTGCCAACCCTTCTTTTGTGTAAATCAGATTTCCTCTCCTTTTCCATTTTGAAGATTCTTATGCTGCATCTCAAGCCCAGACAGATAATCTAGGACCATTTCTCCATGATAAGATCATTCATTTAGGGCTGGGTGTGATGGCACATGCCTATAATACCAGTACTTAGGAGGCAGATGCAGGCAGATCTCTGAGACTGAGGCCAGTCTGGTCTATGAAGAAAGGTTCAGGACAGCCAGGGCAACCCAAAGAAACTCTGTCTCAAAAAACAAAACAAACAAATAATCAAACGAAAAGATCTTTAACTTAATCATATTTGGAAGGATCCCCCCCCCCCATATAGACCAACTCTCACAGTTTGCAAAGATAAAAACCTCAAATGTGTTTTAGCCTACTATAGACGCTCTCTCAGATTTCCAGGGCATTACAAAAAATTCTGAATTGCTTGGATATAAAAAAATAATTTCTATTTTAAGCCACTCCATATGCACAGAACTCATTTGGGTAAAATAAAACATGGCTCATTAAAGATGAGAAGCCACTCCAGCATCGTGCTGGAGTACATGTTTTAACTAACACAAACAAAAAAGCAAGTGAGAAAATTTATGCTAACTTGTATTTTGATTATGCCTTCATATGACAATTGAAGGAGCTAACTGAAGAAATTATTTAGCTAACTCAAGATTCTTATCTAGTCATTGGAGTACATAGGAAAGACTTGCTTGGTAGAAATAGGTTCACATATCTATACAATTGTGTATCAGACTTATAAGGATTTCCAGAATTCAGCTCAACTCTATTTGTCCAAACAATATATGACCAGAGTGGGAATATACAGAACAGAAAGCAATTCCTTAAAGTCTGGGTAACAAGTGGTAAAAGTTACATATTCTGCTTGTAGTGCAGTCTTCAGCATCATGATTCTCACAGCAGAATTGTTAGTTTAGGTTGAAGTGAGACCTAACAAGTTTGGTTAGA